GGGCCGGGCGCGGTGGCTCACGCCTGTAATCCCAGCACTTTGGGAGGCCGAGGCGGGTGGATCACGACGTCAAGAGATCGAGACCATCCTGGTCAACACGGTGAAACCCCCTCTCTACTAAAAATACAAAAAAATTAGCTGGGCATGGTGGCGCGTGCCTGTAATCCCAGCTACTCAGGAGGCTGAGGCAGGAGAATTGCCTGAACCCAGGAGGCGGAGGTTGCGGTGAGCTGAGATCGGGCCATTGCACTCCAGCCTGGGCAGCAAGAGTGAGATTCCGTCTCAAAAAAATAATAATAATAATAAATAAAAAAAATAAAAGCATATGTCTAGTTCCTTGGAGACACTGTAAACCCAGACCCACTTTAAACTCAATTATTTTGGACCATAGTTAAGAAAACTATGACTCACCAGACGCAGTGGCTCACACCTATAATCCCAGCACTTTGAGAGGCTGAGGTGGGACAATCACCTGAGGTTAGGAGATCAGCCTGGCCTGTATGGTGAAACCCCATCTCTACTAAAATTAACTGGGCATGGTGTTGGATGCCTATAATCCCAGCTACTTGGAAGGCTGAGGCAGGAGAATCGCTTGAACCTGGCAGGTGGAGGTTGCAGTGAGCTGAGATTGCACCACTGCTTTCCAGCCTGGGCGACAAGTGAAACTCTGTCTCAAAAAAAAAAAGCTATGACTTTAGTCATACACAAAGGCCAGGAGTTGTAATGGATACAGAATCTGTCTATCCCTACTCCAAAACAAAGCTCAGTGAGGTGATTCTTTCTGTATTGGTTTCTGTGACTGCTGCAACTAATTTTCACAAATGGGGTGGCTCAGGTCAACAGGTTTATTCTCTTACAGCTCTGGAGGCCAGACATTTGAAATTAGGGTGTCGGCAAGGCTGTAGTCTCTCTGAAGGCTCTATGGGAGAATTCCTTGTTTACTTCTTCCAGCTGCTGGAGGTGCCCAGCATCCCTTGACTTGTGGCTGCATCACTTTGGTCTCTGGCTCCGTGATCACTTTGCCTCCTCCACTGTCTGTTTCCTCTTTTTCCATATAAAGTTACATTCACAGATCCTGGGAATTTACAACCTGGGCATATCTTTGGAAGGCCATTATTAACCCATTACATTATCTTCACTTTTTCGCTATGGTGAAGGAACTTACTCAAATTAACCCTTTTGCTCCAGGTTTCTTATTTGAAGTTCCAGTTTCTTCAGCAGAGTTTTGTGGGACTTCCCAGGTTGTATAGACCAGAGGCTTTTCTTTCCCTGCTTTTAGAGCTCCTTAGAGCCAAAAGCATTAAGCCACCAGACCCCATGGGGTCATTATTTTTGGCCTCTGTGAAATTCTGCCAATTTCTTTCTGTCCAGCTATTTTTTTTTAATTTGGTTGCATATCATACTTTTAAATTTCCTGTCATAATGTTAAACACTAAAGCTTTATTTCTGCATAGGTTTCTCCTTCCCTACCTGGGTTTATTTTTAGTGACTCTCCTTTGTCTTTTTCCCTCTCATCTAGTTTAGGTCCTCATCATCCATGAAAGTCACCAGTCTGCAGACTGTACACTTCATGAACATTCCTGCCTTGATGTTGTTCCCCTGCTTAGAGCCCCCAGTGCTCCCATTCTCTTACACTTCAGAATCTTCACTTCCACGCAAGATCCTTCCTGTTCTGGGCCTTCCCTGTCTTTCTGATTCTGCCCCTGATTCTTTCACTCTGTCAAAGGCTTTTTTCACTCTCCTTCCAACACAATTGGCTCTTTCATTGTGGTATGGTAGTAAAGATCATCTATAAATGTAGCTTCCTATTTTGATAAGCTTATATAAAACTTTAGTGACATTCTTAACTCTTTTCTTCTCCCTCAAATCCATTGGTCACCAAGTTGTGCAGTGGATCTGAAAGATGACATTTATCTCTCTCTTGTTCTGTGCAAATAAATGCAGTGGCATGATTGAAGCTGGTCAGGGTAGAATCGTGTCTATGTGAATTATGTATTTATAATGCTACCTGCAGTTCACATAACTAGTTTTAGCTATGGTGCCTTCCTGCATTCTCTTTATTTTGTGATGTTAGCTAGGCAAAAGTTTAGTAGGTGAGAGCTTTTTCTTTTTTTGAGACAGTTTCACTCTTCGTTGCCCAGGCTGTAGTGCAGTGGCACGATCTCAGCTCACTGCAACCTCCACCTCTTGGGTTCAAGCGATTCTTCTGTCTCAGCCTCCCGAGTAACTGAGATTACAGGTGCCCGCCACCAGGCCTAGCTAATTTTTTTATTTTTAGTAGAGATAGGGTTCCACCATGTTGGCCAGGCTGGTCTTGAACTCCTAACCTCAGGTGATTGGCCCGCCTCAGCCTCCCAAAGTGCTAGGATTGCAGGTATGAGCCATGACACCCAGCTGACAGCTTTTAAAGATTTAGTGATTTACCTAACATTATCGCATAGTCGGGACTTTTTCTAATTTAGTATCTTTCCAATCTGTTATCTGTAGCTTCCTTTTCATTATGCTTTTTCTCTCAGAATTGTCTTTCATAAAGTATCAATAACTTAGTAAATTAGAGCCACAAAATATTGACCATTTTAGAAACTCCTAGATGTGGCTGGGCACAGTGACTCATGCCTTTAATCCCAGCACTTTGGGAGGCCGAGGCAGGTGATCGCTTGAAGTTAGGAGTTCCTGACCAGCCTGGCCAATTGGCAAAACCTCATCTCTACTAAAAATACAAAAATTAGCCAAACACGGTGGCAGGCACCTGTAATCCCAGCTATTCAGGAGACTGGGGCAGAAGAGTCACTTGAACCCAGGAGGCAGAGGTGGCAGTCAGATGACATCATGCCATTATACTCCAGCCTGGGTGACAGAGCAAGGTTCTGTCTCCCACCAAGAAGAAGAAACTTGTAGATGTCTTCTTGCATGCTCCACTAAACCCTAAACATCATCTCCAGGTCTTGTAATTATTAAGGAAGTAGCTTTAAGAGTATTTTCACATCTAGGATTCCCTGCTAGGATAAGAGCTTTTTTTTTTGAGACTGAGTTTCATTCTTGTTGCCCAGTACAATCACGTAATCTGAGGTCACCGTGACCTCCACTTCCTGGGTTCAATTCAAGCAATTCTCCTGCCTCAGCCTCCTGAGTACAGTATTACAGGCACATGCCACCATGCTCGGCTAATTTTGTATTTTTAGTAGAGATGGGGTTTCTTCATTTTGGTCAGGCTGGTCTTGAACTCTCGACCTCAGGTGGTCTGCCCACCTCGGCCTCCCAAAGTGCTAGGATTATAGGTGTGAGCCACCGCTCCCTGCCTGACGAGCTATTTGTAAAGAAAGTTCACCTGTTTAAATTAAGAACTGACAGGAAGCAAAATGTTCCACAGTAGATGGATAACTTTAATTTTTTTTCTTTTTGAGTTATATATTCAATACATTTTAATCAATTACACTTGTGTTATAATTTTGGATGCTAAGAGTTTTCATCATTCATCGTATTGAATCCTATATTCTTTAACATGATCCATTGTCTTTGGTAAATTCTTGCTTTCTCACATAACAACATGTCTGCAGCTTATTATGTGTACTCTTACTTCTCCAAACCTAGAAAATAGCTGTTCTTCAAATTATAGAGAATCGTATTTTGAAACCACATGTCTGGGACACTGAGTTGGCACAGCTTTTAGGCCTTTTTTGTAGACACAGGAAGTATCTGTTTATGAGGAAAAATAATCATCTTGGTGTAGTACCCAGAGTTAGCCAGACTGTGAAGTAATGGCATAGTCCTCCAGAAGGCTCCAAGAGTCTGTCCAAAATCTAACTCCACCTGCAGGGAGTTAGGCTTCTACTGTGAACTCAGGAAAGAATCCACACAAGACCCCCATCACTTCTGGCACCAACTGCAAGTTCCAGGGGTTTTCCTACACCACCCTCATGTTCAGTAACCTGCTAGGAGGACTCAGACTCACTGAAAGGTATTATACTCATGGTTTCATTTACTATAGGGAAAGGATACACATTAGAACCAGTGAGAGAGAGAGAAAGCACATCTACATATATATGTATGCTCCATAAGTGAATTCCTTAGGCAATGGTCATCTGATTGCCTTTACTAGGCAATTCAGTAGGATTGATGATTGGATTGATTGATTGATTGATCAGAATCTAGGAGGGATTCAAACAAGGATCACCAGGTCATCATCTCTCCCTGGAGTCATGGATAATGTTTCCTTCTCCCATCCCTTACATCTGACAACACAGGGACTATATTACCAGCCAGGGAAGCTCACTTGAACCTTGCTGTCCAGTTTCTATTGAGGTTTCATTCTGCAGGTGTAATTGCTGCCTTTCTCAGCTAATACCATGTGACCCAAAGTCCCCATTCTAAATCATATACTTGGTCTTTCTGTCTTACCCAGCACTACCATGAATCATCTCATTAGCAACAACTGTCAGGTTTGGTGAACGTGCCCACCATGAGAAACAAAGACTCTCCTACTAGGAAATTACAAGGATTTAGAGATTCCCCTCAGGAGCTAAGACAAAGGGCAGAACTCTTAGGATAGGGCCAAATTCCTTACTACACAAGCAATTAACATTTTTTAAAATATTCACCCACAGTAGGTAAAATACTGATTTTTATTTCAACTTTTTCTTTTCGTTCTAGAAATTACAGAAGACATCCCCATGAAGACTTTGAATATGAAGACTGTGTATGTTTCTGTATTACCAACAACAGCAGACTTTTAGCATGCACTTATTATCAGTGTTCAGTTGGCCTTTCCCTACTTACGCCCATCCCCATACATATGTGCACATAGACACACACGTGAACACACTGAAGATATTTCCTTCAGGTGCATGTAAAATATGCTGCTTGGATTGAAATTCAAATGGAATTGATCAGTCAAGTAACTTGAGACCTCACAGTAATCTTCACACTTAACCTTAGACACCTATGCAGTCATGTTGGGAGCAGCACCACAGTTTATTTCTATACTTGAGTTCTTAAGTACAGAAGGTAGAAGCAATTTAAATGGTATAGCATATATATCATTTTTTGGCCTTTTAAAATTTATTTAAGACCTCTTGATGAAATGGACATGTTATATATTTCTGCCACCTGGATTTTCCTGGGTAATTTGATGGAATATTTTAAGTTTCAGTAAATCAGAACAATAAACTCAGATATAAAAATGTTGAAAGTAATTCATTCTTCCACAGTTAAATGAAACTTGAAATGTATAATCTTTGAAGAACATAAAAACATCATGGTGGTTTCTGTATTAAGACAGTGGACTAAACATCTGATAAAACCTTTCCAAAATTGTGGATGATAATTTGAGTCCTCAAAGAAGCAGGTGACATGACAAAATTAGATGTGCAAGAGTTTATTAGAGGAAACATAAATGAAGGACAAACGGATGGACCAAGCGTAGGTTGAGAGAGCCTCAGACTGTGGTGTAGATCTGACACTGTAAAAAGAGAAAACGAGGATTGATTAGCAAAAACAGACTGCAGTGCAACTCTGAGTTGAAATCTTGGTCAGGCCAATGGAGAGTTCCCAGGCAAGGATTCCTTTTAGTTGAGTTCAGAGTTGGGCAGAAATAGCCTGGCTTTGTGCCTCCCAGTCAGTGTCTGGGAGGAGGCCAAGGGGAGCATGCCTTTGGCGCAAATGCCTTGATGGACCTGAAAGTACCAATTACAGTCCTCACATCAGATTCTTTGGAAGGGAGATCTGAGTGGTATATCTTTATGGCTGCTACAGAAGGTGCATTCACACAAAAACCCTCAGGTTGGAGAAAATAGAGGAAACAACCAGAATTTGGGGAATTCAAAAGCAGATAAACTGCTAACTAACTTGGTAGACCCAAGAAACCCCAGTTCTAAATGGAGAAACTAATAAACACAGAATTCACAGCCCCATTTACCTCTGGGATGAAGGGTAGAAGAGGTACAGAAAGAGGGAAGATGGCATGAATACTGGGAACATTATGGTGTCTCCCATTTCTACATTGCTAAGAAACTCGCTTTATCCCCACCACAGCTGGCATCTGGAGGGTGAAAAGTGACTGGTAGAAGTCAGACTGAATGGAAGACGAGTACTTACAAGTCTGGAGGATTCCTAATACCAACCCTCAGGTTAGATAATTTGCTGGAAGGACTCGCAGAACTCAAAGAAAACTATTATAATCATGGTTACAGTTATTACAGGGAAATGTTAAAAGATCAAAATCAGCCAGAGGAAGAGAAGGAGAGGGTAGAGCTCAGGAGAAGTACCAAACACAGCTCTTGTCCTGTCTCCATGGAGTCAGAAAGCATTATTCTACTGGCATCAATGTGTGACAGTGTACACAGAGTATTGCCAGCCAGGGAAGCTCACCCAAGCCTTGGAACCCAGTGTTTGTTGGTGCTGCTTTACATATGCATGATTAATTGTCCATGTGGTTAATCACAGTCTCCAGGTCAGCTGAGAGTGCATGACCCAAAACCTCTACCCTAAATCACATTGTTGGTATTTCTGGTGTGTCGTACCCCACTACCATAAGACTGTATAGATTTGTCCCACCCCAGCCATAAATCATATTCTCAAGGCTATTCATTATAACCCAAGATCCCAGGTAAACAAAGGCATGCCTATGTAGCATAACATCCCAAGGGCAAGGCCAAATTCCTTTCTACATAGTACTGTACTAGCTTTATATATACTGTCCACTATATCAAAGGAATATAAGATTGACACCAAGTATTGCAAGGGAAAAGGGCTCACTCCAGCAATTAACTTCAAAGTTGAGAAATCCCACTCATACTCAGGTCAGTGTTTTAGGCCCCAACTCTTATTCATGAGACTCCCATCTAGAATTACCAGAGATCTAATGAAAGCCTGTAGTCCAAAACCAAAAGAAAACAAAAGCAATTTTCAGGGATCAAATGATGCAGTGAGAAGAAAATTCCCCCTGCCAAATGTGTTAATATCGTTAGAGATGTTAAGATACTACATCTATAAAATAACAGGATGCTACGAAACATGAAAATCTCAGGAGAAAAAGGTTCCTATTAATATAAGACAGACTAGAAATGAAAAAACAATCATTGGAAAAGAGTGTTGAAATTTTCCAAATGCTAGAAGATTAACAATAAATATATAAGGTGGGAGAAAAGAGATACTGTACATAAGTTAGAGTCCAGGAGTTCCAATATCCAAAATGTAGGAGTCCAGAAAGAAGAAAAATAAGGTCAGAAAATTATAATTAATGTAAATAAATTTTGTAGAACTTAATGACATAACCAGATTGAAAGATACCTTCAAATGTCTAGCACGATGCATGAAAATAGACTCATTCCCAAGGCAGATAACAGAAATTTCAGAACATAAAGAGAAGACTAAGTTTCTAGAAAGAAAAAAGCAAAAGGGATGTACAAAAGATTAGCAATTAAGGATTTTTCTTTTCAACCTCTGCGAGCACAGAACAATTTAGTAAGGATTTGATTTCTCAACAGCAACACAGCAAGAAGAGAATCTCCCAATTCTTTGGGGAAAATTTTCTAACTAAAATGCTACCCAACCAAATTATCAAGTATAAAGATAGAATAAAGGCATTTTCAGACATAAATTGGATCTCAAAATTATCTCCCATGTACTCTTTCTCAGTGAGTTGCTGGGAAATATATTCTACCAAGCTACAGTAACCCCACTGAGATCTTGGTTTCTAAAACCATTCTCCCATGAATGGAACTAGGTTTCTCTGGAGAAAATGGCTGATTCTAGAGCTGGAGCTGGGAATGTACAAAACGAATCTGGAACATCTTGTAGTACCAGAAAATAAAGTGATCAAAAAACAATGGTGAGTGACATCAGCGAGACGGGAAAATATTAATACTAAGCCCTGCTGGGCATGGTGGGTGGCTCATGCCTGCAATCCCAATGCTTTGGGAGGCCGAGGTGGGGAGATCATGAAGTCAGGAGTTGGAGACCAGCGTGCCCAACATGGTGAAACCCCATCTCTACTAAAAATACAAAGATTAGCCCAGCATGAGGGTGTGTGTCTGTAATTCCAGGTACTCGGGAGGCTGAAGCAGGAGAATCGCTTGAGCCTGGGAGGTGGAGGTTGCAGTGAGCTGAGGTCACGCCACTGCACAGGACAAGATTCCGTCTCAAAAATAACATAAAATAATAATAAGCCCCAGGCCCTCATTCTCTCATAAACACACTTAACAATATAGGGACCAAATTGCCTTTGTGGGGATTTTTCAGAAATCAGTTAAAAAGTTGCAGTTCCCCAGGTGAATGTAAAAGCAAGAAGAGCTGATTTGAAGCAGGTGAGAAAGTCTATTACATTTGCATACCATAGGTTCTCCCAGTACCAAGCACAGTGCAGCACAATCTGGAGAAAGCACCCACTTGCACCTTCTCTCTCAAGAGGGAAAGAGTAGAGTGGAATGTATGTCCAATGCTGTGGCTTACAGTGGTGCTGCCTGAGGGACTGATTTCTGTTCATGTGACTCAGAGCACTGACAGGAACAGTGTTAAACTTTGGACGATTAGGGGCTGCTAGAACAAATGTGAGAGCCGTAGCCTTGTTACAGCACTGTAGGGTCTGGTATCATAAACAGATAACAAGGGGAGCAAGAAATTATGAGGTCCTTAAAAAGAAATGGGCAAACCTCTTGAGGAAATTACACAGACAAATCCAGAAAAGATACATCCCTAGAAAAGATCTGAGAGATTTCCAAGATCTCCAGCTAGA